GAACAGTGCAAAGAAAATACACCATCCGTAGCGTTTTGCACAATTCTTCTCTAACGTTGATTTACGGTTCCATCAATGTCTTATTATCAAGAAAATTTCTGTGTCACCAACCAAAAGATCACAGTAGAAAATATAGAGAAGAGAAAACGAAGTCAATTAGAGACTTGTCACCCCAATCACTCACCTTTCTTAAGTATAGCAAAGTCTACCCATACTCTACAATTCATAAATTCATCATAACTGCGTCGTTGACATAATTGATCAGTTGCATTAAGGTCGAAATCATTGTTTTTGCAAAAATCATGTACGGTCAATGAACCTACACTTTATCCTTGCAGTGACAAAAACCGTTTGAAATGAGGCCACTTTAGTGGCATGTCAGAAATTGTGATGTTGATCCTCTTGTTCATGTCTTCAATCCACATTCTTCAAAGAAATACCTAAATTGTGAAACTTCTTTTTTTTTCAAAGTCACCAAAGAGTGAGCGTTTGCAAAATTTTCAGTCAGAAACTGAACACCAGAGAAAAATCCGGATGCACTCTTATTACAGGTTCCACTGCAGGGGCGTTTTGCATTCGCTCAAAACTTCTCACTTTTGAACAATTTGTAACTGTCGAACTGCTGCTATTTACATTATTATGACGGCTCGGAATCCCTAGTATGCTTTCAACAATCATTTCATTCGTAAACGGTAGACGAAGAAGAGACATCTGTATAGTGAGAACCTGTCGCTGCTTAGGCTTAGTAGATTTCGATTTTCCCGCCGATGTAGCTGGATCTATTTGGAGGAATGCAGGAAATCACAGAGCATGTAAAGAATGAGTAGAACAACCACATTTTTCATTCATTTTATACTGTTTGGGGATTGCCTTGGCCAGTATGAAGGAGTTACATTAGAGCGTGTACCATCGTAGCTTATGCTGCTTACCTGTTTCCGGCAAGATAGACACAGTCTTCTTGTAATATTTTCTCATGTAACAAAACGAGTAGCCTGAAATTCTTTTTCAAATTTCAAAATTTTTTTTCATAGTAGAAAACCCTCTGAATAACTTATAGCAAAAATGACATACGGGCTGATCAAAACTGCTGTATAGCTTTTCATCGATCAGCGTTTATGTATGATTGGATGTTTTAGCATATTTC